ACAGGGAAAGGAATAAACGTAAAGTTGGAAGGCACGGGCGAACATTAACCGAGCTAGCGGCTTTTACTTAAACCGAGATCATTGTACATAACGCTTAAGCATTTATTTATATCGTGCTTTTACAAAAGGAGGATCCGTAGTATTTTATTTAGTTTCGTAGCAGAGGTTCATGCACATCATTACCACGTTAGCACGAGATCATTAAATTGTCGGGCGGGGTGCGTATGTTTTTGTTGTGTAGGTATTTGTTGGAGAAGACAGAAAGAAGGGGAGAAAGTAACGAAGGAACATTCATATATGGGATTATTTAAAGAAGAAAAGAAACGAGAGAACACACATACGTATATATATATATACAGAAATGGACGAGCATGCTGGAGAAAAAGAGGGATAAAGAAGCGAGCGATAAGGCAATCTTGTGATACTTTGATGATTTTATTTCTCACCCATTTTTCTTTTTTCTCTCTTTTTCGATGATTTTATTTTTCTCACCCCTCTCATCCTTCGTTCCCTTCTGCGATTTATTTCTCTCCGTTATCACGTACCAAACGTTACTCCATTTTCCTCGCGAGAAATTCCCCCCTCTCCCCACCCCCACCTTTTTTTATTTCTCCATCGCGCGTCTGTCGTGTATTACTCTACCGATTAACAACTGTCATATTATGTATAGTAGAAATTAATGGTGGAAAAGAGAACAAGAACATTGTTTCTGTTAAAATAAACCTTGTTGAAAAGTATGTGTGTGCTTGGCCAAATTGTTTTCGCCAGACCCGAAATCACGCGAGGAAGGAACCTTATCTACGAAGAAGACTTTATTTACTAAAATTTGAGAATAAGGGAGTGTCTCGCAGGAAGATTGTCGAAGCTTAAAAAAGAGGTTTTATTATGATAAAGAAATTGAACGTTGTCTCTTTATTCGATTGCGCACAAGTAGACGTTGCATCGATCTGTGCAATACAAACAGAAGGAAGACACGAACAGTGTAATAACAATTTCAGCAGAACTTGTATCCGCGTTTGATTCGACACTGCGCGACGATCAACTTGCTCCTGCTATTTCAGTTTCACAGTTTCGCCTGAAAGTAAAGTATTCGTCAGTTACGTCGGAATCGTTGCTCTCGCGTTCTCGCAGCCTTCAGCTGTGAAAGAAACTCACCCCGACGTGAATTGCGAGAACTCCGTCTTCCTCTCTTTTCAAGATCTCGATGTACGCGTCGCCATTCCGCTGCACGTTCACCACTTTCCCGGTGCATCGTCCGTTCTTCAAATTGCCAGAAATCACGTCGCAGTACGCACCAGCGGGCAGGCAGGTCTTCAGCGTTGTTCTCAGATCGTTCTGGTCGCCGTTGAACGCAACGAATCCAGAATTCCCGCGGCAGAACGCGATCTGGTTGCTGCCGTTGTCCCACCAACCGTTGACGTTCGTTCCATTAACCACGTTGCGGAAGCGAGCCATGTTGTAAATCTGTCTCCAGCGGTGTTCGCAGATCCAACCGTTGCTGCAAGTGCCGTCCGGATTGATAACCGGAGACACGAGATTGCCCTTGCCATCTTGAGGAGGTCCTTGGTCCTTGCTTTGGAAGTCGAAGGAACTCATTACGCGCGGAGTGCCGAACGGGTGGGCCAACATGAAGGCGACGGCCATCTGCGAGTTTGATTTGGTTAAAAGTTTTCATGGATGGAGCAAAGTCTGGCGGGTATCTGTCTAGCTTCGGTAAATAATATTTTAGAAATAGAATGTTAGAAAATTAACAAGGTGTTTCCTTTTCGTTCGAGCAATGAAAAGTAACTGGTTTATATGTATAATAGCTTTTTATCGAATGTATAGCTTTCATCGATCTATAGTTGGAGCTTTGTCATTGCTGTTAATTGGATTGGATATTTGATACTGAATCAAAACTGGGAGATTAAAGTCCCGCGAAACATTAGACGAGAAGAGCGTTCGTCATTTGTCTGTTGACGTCTGACCATTGGCCGATCTATTTCACTCGCGGACTCTCGCGTGGCCTTGTGCTGCACTTTGGAGGCCAAACGAAACGATGATTATCATCTCCGAACATCAAACACACACTTTCCTAAGAAGTTACTAACGAGAAAAAGAATGCAATTTTTTTTCTTTTTCTCAAATATTCGAGGATTAAATTCGTTTCGTGAAATAAATAAAATTTCCACTTCAATCCTGTGTGTGACTACGAGAGTGTGAAAATGTAGATTCACGTCGAGGCACTCACCTTGTACATTTTCGGCAACTTGTAAGTGAGTACTTGAGGATTGTCGCGTTGCGTGTCGTGATTGTCGACGAAAACGAGAGCGTCTTGCGAAGGTAGAAGGCCCCACTTCTCTCCCCAGTTGACGAGCCATTTCAGATTGTTGTTACCTCGGAAAGCCTTGGAGATCTCAGCAGCGTACTTGAACTCGATCACGGCGGCCAGCTGATTGTACTCGCGTTTGGAGATCGCCTCGTTGCCGTAGTCGATCACTTCTTGGTATATGTACGGCCGAGCGTTCGCTGGGAAACCGTGTTTCGGGTTCAGGTTCTTTATTCTCGAGTAAATGACGTTCAAGTCGCTTGGCCACATGTGTTTCGCAGCGTCGATTCTGATTTCGAAACAAATCGAAAGAAAGAAGCGCCTCGGGTCAGAACCGATTCCATTCTTCGTTTACAATTTCAAGCAAAGTCTTTTTTTTTTTGTTTTTAGCAAAAGTTCGTAACGTTATGCTCAGACACTTGAAACTTATATGAAAGAAGAACAAAGAATGAACCGTTGACGGAACAGAGTAAACGTATGTACGAACCGGAAGCCAGCAACGCCCGCGTCGACAGCCGCGTTCAAGAAATCCAGCAGCTTGGACCTCACGTACTCTTGGCTCTGATCCAAGTCGTGAAGGCCGGTTAGTTCGCAGTTTCGTACGTTCGACGGATCGTTGTAATTGTTGACCGAGCAGGATTTGTGAAAATGTTGCGCGTGGTAGGGCACCTGATAGTACTCGAATTTGTTCGTGTCCGCCCTGGAGTTTCCAGTGCCATGAGCGTTGTCCCAGTTACCGGACATGTGATTCAGGATAGTGTCCACGTAAATTCGGACACCGGCTTTGTTGCATCTAGCCACCATGTTGACGAACTCCTCTTTCGTGCCGGATCGCGTGGTCCACAAGTAGGAGATTGGCTGGTAACGTTCCCACCATGGCCTGTTGTTGATCACCAAGTTCTCTTGCAACGGCGATACCTGTCGCAAAGAATGCGAAAACAGCAGAAGATAATAATAATAATAATAATAATAATAATAAAAAAAAGAAGAAGAAGAAGAAGAAAAATAGATTAAGCAAAAAAGGGAATTGAGCGATCCATGTAAGAGTGTATTAACAGATGTCGAAATTATTTCCTACAAATTGGGAGATGGTTCGGTCTCATACCTGTACTCCACCGTATCCCATTGGTCCAAGGAATTGTTCGCACTCCCTGGCAATGTCGTTCCATTTCCACTCGAAGAGGTGCACGATGGAGTCGTGGCCAGGGGCGAAGTGAGGATTTTTGTTGGTGTTTTGGCCCGCTGCCAACAACGCGAGCGCAGCCAACAACGTCGCGATCGTCGCCAGCATCGTGGTTAGTTTGCGTTACAACAATGCTCTGCTTCCCTAATATATAAACTCTCTCGCCGCTGGTCGATTGCATAACCACTTTCTGCATCCAAAGGTCAACGCTGCAATTACATTTTATCGATACGTCTTGTGTATCTATTGTCCCACTTTTCCTTATCGTCGCTCACAATAGAGCAAGCAGATGGCTGTTAGAGTAAACAGAATACTTGACGTAAGTAATCAGCTAGAATGCTTTCGACGACGTAATTAATTTCCGCCTGATGATCTCAGATGTTTGTCAGATGACTGCCTGTCTCAAAAATTCGACATAACGCAGAATTAGGAGTGGAATCAATTTAAAATGGAAACGTCGATCGATCGCAGAGTCAATCGACTGATGCGAAACTCGCACGGTCAATTATAATTTTCCAAATACTTAGACTACGTTCCTCACGAGAGAATTCCCGGTACAATATTGTTGAACAAGTCTCGGATATTTGGCACGAACGTGTATGAAAATCATAACGAGTGAATAATAATTCAGAAAAGTACGTGACTCGCCTGAATAATTGATGCATAACTAATCCCAAGTTCAAAGGCTGTTAAAGTCGGAATTCAATTATCATATTAAAAAACACTATCGATACGAAAGTATCAGTTACTCAGCCACGAAAGAAGGAAAGCAGATTCTTTCGTTCTAAAGTGCACATTTTTTGAAAATTATTAATTACATGCACAGCTATCGCGTATCGAAGATTCACCGTTAAATCATTTGAAACTGAGGAGAAAAATCTGTAGGAAAAGTAGTAGAGAGTTGAACCTGTCGTAAAATCGTTGGCCCGTCGATCTGATATCGGGAACGCGATTTTCGAATGATGGAAGGAAGGGAGCGAGAGCGGCTGGCTCTGCGCTTCGTTCAGAATAATTACGAGCGATGGTTAATCGGTCGAGTACAGAATACAGAAGGACCAACAAGCAACAGCAACAACAACAGCCACAGGCAGCAATAACCTGGCTCGTTATCAGCGGCGGTGCCTCGTACATATATATGGTCGCGAAGCTTGTAAAGTACCATTTCGCTGCGGGGTTACAATTACGAGCGAGGCGCGTAATTAAAAGCTGATGTCCCTCATTTATTAATGCTACCGAACGAGTTTAGCCGTGCTGTCGATGCACGGCTCGCTCGTTTTAATGCCAAACGTCATCAGTCTTCGACCATCGTCTTCATCCGTTCTTTCCACTCGCCGCGCCGTGTAATGGCACGTAGTAAAAAAAAAAAAAAAAAAAAGAAAAAAGAAAAGAATTCCAACCACGGAAAATTCCGAGTACTTCTAGAATTACATCTATATTATAATAACACGGAGGAGGATTTAATTTGTCGAGGTTTTTCGAATAAAAATGAATTGTTCCATTATTTCCTGACAGATGTTAGTGGATTCGATAATCGTTCGAAGGTTTATTTAGCGCAAGGTCAGTTCAAGTTTCGTTATCGATTCAGAATGTATGGAGATTGCGAGACCAAGTGGAAAACATAATGGAATAATGGAAAAAACGTGTCGTTATTTATAATAAACGAAATTGAAATTATCAGATTGTGACTGATAATTGGTCTCGAGAGTCGTGTTTTGTTACAGCAGATAAAATTGTCGAACGTCATGCGTGTCAGATTTGCCAGACCGAGTAGGCGACCGATTGGACAGAAAAGGAAGTAAAGACCTTTCGGTTCGTGGTTCACGCTCTTCTCTCTTTATTTCAATTCATTTGGCTACAGAATATCACAACATGATAGAGATCGAACTTTAGATAGAGTTCATCGTAGAATCACTGATCGATGGAATCGAAACATTTTACCATATGCATCGAGTAGGGGAGTAAATTTCAAAGTCGGGAGAATGCGAAACGATATTTAGGATAAATTGTCACGATAATTTCCATTGTACGTGTGATTGGAACTAATCACTAGTTCACCTCGGTTAAAAAGTTTCCCTCTCGCGTCGAAGAAAAAGAAGAAGAAGACGCGAGAATTTCGATGAAACGACGGCATCGATTTTGCACGAAAATTGTCTCGATTCGATCGATTCGATGGTAACGCTGCGACGAGTAGTCAACGCCGTTAGGCTGCTCAACGACATATCATTGTTTATTAACCATTCCATTCTCTTGCTTTTCCTTTCTGTTATTTAGTTTACGCACACTTGACATACAAAACAGCAGAAGTAACGATGCGCACAGACAGACAACGATTACACAGATTAAGTAGACTATACACCATATTCATAAATATACTCTTGACACTTATGCAACTGAGCCGCGTACAACGTGACGATAATAAAATACAATTCTCCGACAGTGGCGGCTGCGGACTTAGCTTCGCTTCAGTTTGATGCTCGGTTCCGTTGTTCTCCTTTTTTTCTTTTTTTTTTTCCTGTATTTTTTCTGTTTTTTTTCTTTTTTCTTTTTTTTTTTTTTTTTTT